CTTTGTATTTGCAATGTTGAAGAGCAGGATTATTCGTTAATTTTACAGTTTTACTCGTCTTGTAAGCCATCGTGTTGAAAACAAAATTTTCTTCACTCTTTGACGTAAGCCCTTCCTACTCCCCCTAAGTTTGAGTTTGTCGAAATTTGCATGCGCGAGCCGGTATGCGCAGCGCAAATTTTTGTGTCAATTTATGGCAGGCATCTCACCAAACTTTTTCCCACCGCCCGATTCCTCAGGTGAGATGCCTGCGGAGGAAGCTACGTGGAAATTGGGAAAACTCAAAATTGGGGGGAAACACGAAATTTCACGTTTCCCCACAATTTCTCGTTTCCCCAATTCCCACTCTTGTTGATATAACTGCATATCAACACGAAAAATGTTTCATATTTGTTAAATATCAGTTTGAGATAATAGTCACACGGAATGGAATTAGCACCCTCGGCAGGGGCTAACGCTCGGAACGGCGCTGTTGGCACGTGGATTAAAGCAAAATTATCTCTTAGATTGAATTTTCAAAGCTCACTAATCAACACAGCTACACTATTATATTTCTTATGGACACCCTGTTTTTTAACCTTTAGAAGTTCCTCAATCACCATTGTATCTTAATTGTACCCATACCCGTAATACAAACCTGGTTAAATTGGTCAACCTCCTCCTTTCCACTTTCTGCTTTCCCAGCAATCAACATCAATTTACTTTGAACATCCTTTACTTCTTCCAAGCTATAAATCTTTACTTCTCTATTCTTACTTTCGTCTTCAGGAACAACAAGGGATACCAAATTCTCAAGGCACAATTTAACACCATTGTTAACATGTTTACTTTCCTTAGCTTTTTCGCTGTCTGCAATGTAGTAAATACCGCAGGAATTGATTGCTTCAACTTGAACCATAGTTGTGAGAGCAACAGACCCATGTGACTCTTTAATTTGTTTCAACCATGACAGGCCTCGCGTTGTTAACACCTTAGATGGAAATGCGCCGATAATAAATATATAATTATTATAATTATTTCATTGTAACAATAATTTGATTTTCCGCCGAGCAAGCAATATTGAATTTTTGTCAACTCAGGACAAAAACTATATGAGTATACACATAGACACCTAATCCATGCAAAACAAAGTAAAAATATCACTTGGTACTTTCTCTGAACTTTTACGACTTTTCTTTATCTGAATAATATTATCAATTACTTATTAACCGCATAAACATTAAATAAACTTGTATCCTTGCGTTCCCTTGAAAACTGGAACCGTACCTATACAACTATTGTGAGAATACGAACACAAGCATGTGAGTATATGAGTGTATGCAAAGCAACAGTCTACACTCCTAAAATTGGCAAGAAGATCAGTTAAGAACGATAGTGAAATTAAACCATATTGATTATATAAATACGAATGTTTGTCAACGGTTGGGGGTATTGCCATGAGTCAAATACCTGCTTATTTTTCATCTTCTGATGTATCAGACATTGCAGATAAATTGAATTCCGATCTATGAAACTTATGTCGGTGGCTTAACGAAAATCGTTTAACATTAAATGAAGCTAAATGCAAGTTTGTTGTCTTTGGAAGTCAATTGAAATTAATGGATGCCAGGTCGATGGGGAGGATTCGTTCAAATATGTAGGTTTTAATAATAATAACATGTATTTCTATAGCGCCATTACCTATAGCTCAATGGCGCTTTACAGTAGGCTATTTAGAAAATTTAAATTTTTAGTATATTTACCATTACTAGCCTATATAAAAGTCAACATAAGAAGTGAATTAGATAAAAAGTCAGTTAGATAGATACAACTAGCAATAATTAAAATTGGTAAGACTGGTGTCAATTACTTATAAAAGTGTTTAAATAAATATGTCTTCAATTTTGTTTTAAAAGTAGATATTGATTCACTATAGCGTACTGAATCTGGAAGTTCATTCCATAGTTTTGGCGCGGCATATGAAAACGACCTTTGACCATAGTTGACCAACTTTATGGGGGGGGGGGGTACTGAGAGAAGTCCGAACATCGATGAACGTAGATTCATTGTTGATTTGAGCGGTTGTAGCATATCCCTATAATGCAACTTGGTGCACGACCATTTAGAGCTATCTAAGTAATGAAAAGTATCTTGCAAATGATACGTTGTCTGACGGCAAGCCAGTGCAGCTCTTTCATAACAGGGGCGATCGCGATATGATTAAATTTTCTCCGTCTTGCTATCAAACGTGCTGCGCTGTTCTGCATATTTTGTAATCAATCAATCAATCATGAATTTTGGCCACTCATATAGCAGTGAATTACAGCTATCCAGTTTAGAAGTAATAAGGGAGTGAACCAATATTACTAGCTGTATCATATGGTTGGATTTTAAAATTGGATACATCAATATGACCTATAGGCGGGCATGGATTTTATTAAGTATTATGATATTAATTTTGCTTTACGTTTCGTTTGCAAGTCTTACTGTCTTCAGTTGGTTTGGTTTTAACGACAGACAGTCAAAAAATACATTTCAAATTTTAAAACAGCTCACCAATTTTTCTTCAATGCTTGGATTTGCGTCAACGGCTTGCCATACCGGTTGACAAAGTCGCATTAAGTCATCAAAACCATGATCTGTTTTGCAACCAAATATTAATGATCCAAACCCAAGACAACTGGTGTGCATGCACGAAATTCGGTCAATTTCCATATCATCTTCCCCAGCTGAAATCATAGCCAAATCAACGAACACTTTAAGCTCTTGTTCATCTGGAATGGAGTTCAAATTAAGATAATATTTTAATGGGAAACTGTCAATTGGTAATGATGTCCATATATTCTGATATTCCGAATCACAAACTTAAACTGGGTGCACTTTGTCTGAGCAGTAAGTTCTAAATAAATGATTACCTGATAATGACACTTCGGCACGAATTTGACTTATGGTAGTTTGCTTAATGCTGTTTGAAGAATGGGATCATTCGTGCTTAAAAGAATGACTTAGCCTCCATTGAGTACAAAAATGCCCAATTTCAAAATGAACAAGAATGACTTTATTTAAATTTCAACGTAGCTACAACAGTAAATTGTTTCATCAATAATTTAATGGGTGTAACCACAACACTCTTCGATAACTTCAAGGCATCATCTCTTCAGAAAGAGAATCATGTGGCCTGGGAACTCTCCCGATCTCAATCCATTTGAGTCGTCGGTTCGAAGGCTGACTTGGGCTCAAGTCATACAGGGTGAGTAAAAAAAACTGACACCTTTGTTATTAAAATTAGCCGCGAGGGTATCAGTTTTTTTTTACTCACCCTGTATCTCAACGGCGGGTGAGCAGACGATGCCTTGAAGTGATTGAAAAGCGTACATGGTCGTTACACCATTATTAAATCATTGATGAAACATTACTATTGTGGTGATGTCTTGTTAATTTTGAAATTGGGTATTTTTGTATTCAATTGAGGCTAAGTCATTCTTTAAAGCATGAATGACCCCATTGTTCACACAGCATTAAGCAAACTACCATAGGTCCAATTAGTGCTAGGTTTCTTTATCAGGTAATAATTTATTTAGAACTTATGATGATATATTTAGGGGGGAACTTTCTTTTTGTGTGGTGTTTAGTTAAAACATTCGCAACCGATCTTTATCTGATATGAGTTCATTGGCGAAGTAATTTTAAAAATAAACATTGTCTAAGCAGAGAGAATCAAAGTTGAAGTTTATGTAAATCAAGACAAATCTTTATCCGATTTACAAACATTGATTAAACATTCATTTGTTTTGAATTTTCTTCACGAATTATTATTGATATTTTAATATACAATTAAAATGCTAATTTAAGGCCATTAATTTGATAATTTATTTAAAAAGTGTATCTTTATTTTCGAATTGGGTCTAAAGTTCAAAACATTCACTCATCAACCCAGAAAACACTCCAAATTTCATTTAAAACATGGACTAAACTTATTCCCGAATATTGGAATGCAACTACTTGCTTTTTTCTTCTGGTTTCTAAGTCGGGAAAATGTCAAAGTGGATGATGCAACAGATTGTTAAAACAACTTGGCATAAGACTGACTTAAATAAATGAAATAAAAGAAAGGACATGCAGATAAAAATCCAGGTTAGTTGCACACATAACCTGCACACAGCTTTGCCGCAGGCAATCATATCATCTGCAATCTTAATTCTGCAGTGGCGCATTACCTTGTATGCTCTTTCTTAACCAAGTAACCAGATCAAAACATTTTGTAAATGCCATTAAACAACTTCGCCTCGTCGGGTTTATATCCTTTAACAGTTCTCCAGCTTTAAGCAAATTGTCACTCACTGATTTGATAGCTTGCCTTTCAAATTTCCCACCGATAATCTGAAAAAAACACATGAGATACGTAAATAAACCATCATTCATAAAGCATACTTACGTATATTCATCAACCGATTGCTAGTATTCAAGCTGAATCATTTGCGCACGTCAAGTGCGATTTACCAGCTCATCCGTGTTTTACCCTTTCGCCCACTTTTTTACCCTCTCTATAATAACCGTAGCTCGAATGGGGTAAACAACAGAGTAAATCCTCAAGACAAACAGGGTTTTTGGGCTTTATAACCAGTTTTTGAAGGTTCAGAAAGAAATTTAAAAATACTGCATAAATTAAGGTGGATTGATACAGTTCTTTTTTAAAATGGGAAAAATCACTAGTATAGATATTAATTATATAAAACAGTATCTAAAAGGTTAGTTTTTCCAAAGTTACATAATCACTCTTGCTATGGCAACAATGACATTTCAATATGGCGAATATAATATATTGGTTTTATAATAATTCAATTAAAAAGACATCGGTGACCCTATATCTTAAATGCCTTCCATTAGTAAATTGAACTATTAAAACAATTCTGTCGACCCAAAGTTCTCCAAATTTGGTAAATTTGATTGTTTAGAATAAATTTTGTTTAAGTGGATAACAAATTATAGAATCATAATTCCACATGCCAAAAGAAAGTACTTATGGGAGTCACCAAAGTTTTTTTCGACATTGAAACGTCAATGTTGTCATAGAAATGGCGTTACGTAACCGTTGTGAAAAAATTCAAAACTTTTGGATGTTATTTTATACAAGTAACAACTTAGAAAGAAAGAAGAAGAAGATACAAGAAGATATACAAGAAGATGGGTCAAAATTATTTATTTACAATTATTTTATTAATGAATTACTTTCATCTTCTTGCATAGTGAAGAATCCATCTTCTTACAAAGAACTTATTAAGTAACAATCTACCTGCTTTACATAAAGAGTAAATAGAATATATGGTTTTCTCGTCCAATAAATACTGAAGTTCCTATAAATTTAGGAAACGATTGTGTTTGCCGATAGAACACCTGAAAATGCTTATGCATCATGCTATGAATGCAACACATACGTCGTTTCATCCTAAACATCCTGCTTGATCTAACCATGTAACCAATAATTGCGGCATGTAGTAAAACACTGACTACCGGAACACCGGAACACCACCGGAACACCGGAACACCACCATTTTGTTTGGGGTTAGGGTTAGGATTAGGGTTTCACCGGAACACCACCATTTTGTTTGGGGTTAGGGTTAGGATTAGGGTTTGGGGTTAGGATTAGGGTTAGGGGTTAGGGTTGGGGTTAGGGTTAGGGTTAGGTGGTGTTCCGGTGTTCCGGTGGTGTTCCGGTGGTGTTCCGGTAGTCAGTGGTGGTGTTCCGGTGTTCCGGTGGTGTTCCGGTGGTGTTCCGGTAGTCAGTGTTTTACTACATTCCAATAATTGCTGAATAACACGGTAGACTAAACATTCATTATTCAAGTTTAGGTGTGAGCAGTTCAGTTATGATCCACATGATTTCAGACTATGACGTAAGACTAACGAATAGCTGCTAAGGGTTAACTTGAAGGTGGCTTCTCTACAGTTTACAAGAAAATGGAAGACCTCCGATTTAGACCTAATTTTTCGACAATTCCTATTTGCTAAAGAAAGTCCGACTAGAAAAATAACAACTACAGAGTTGGATTTTTCAAAAAAAAGGAATCGCAAGTACCGTTGTTATGCCAAAAAATAACGATTCAATATCACCAATATTTTGGGTTTAAAGTTATTTAACTTGAAAATAAGGTAGGTTACCCCCATTTTTATATTTCATACAAAGAATTCATTTAGTATTTTGAATCATTGTTATGATTTTTAGAAATTCTGTCATGCGTAAAAAAATTGTAACGAATTATTACATTTTTCGATCATGAAAAATTTTGGTATGACCGAATTTTTTAAAATCATGAAAATAATTCAAAATACCAAAAGAAATCATGCTATAAAATAAAAAATTGGGGTCACCGACTCTTCGAGTTAAATTACCTTAAATCGATAATATCCACCATATTGAAACGTCATTGTTACCATAGCAACGGTTTTTAGAAGTAAGATTTTAAAAACTCCGAACTCCTTTATTATTGTTTAATTCAAGTCAGATACTATTTGTTTTTATACAAATAATTATTGTCCAGAAATTCATGTGCAAATCAGAAAATCATCCATTGCTTTAAAGAGTGTAGCGAGCTACCTTAAGGTGACTCGATAAAGTTTTTTAAGAAAGGAAAATTCAAGATTTAGAAGAGTATTTTTGGAGAATTATTACTTGTTGAAAAACAAAGAAGTATCTTACTGATGCAAAACAACATATATATAACGCGCTTAAATTTTTCATAAACTGAGTTACGCAACTGATACAGATACGCTTTCGACAATTTTAAAAAATTCTGTTCAGCCAAAATTTAAAAAAAACCTTTAAAATAAACTTAAATAATTTTTAATTTAAAAAAATATTTAAATAATTTTTAAAAGCAGCATTGTGATAGAAAAAATAAGGAGTGTGGTTGCGTTATAACTTTTTCCCTCCCACTGCAGCAACGACTTGGGAGTACTATTCCAAATTCAAATTTATGGAAGGTTCAGATTTCAGGTTCAAAAAATAAGATTTTAATTAGCAAAAAACATGAACTCTCACTGTACTACATTACACTATACAAATTTAAAGTTGAGAGAACCCAAATATTTTGGGAAACTACACCCTGGGGAACAGTTATACAACAAAAAGTACATAATCTAACCTCTTTAATCTTTTCGACTTGTGAAAAATCGCCTTCAAGACCCATCACTTCTTGTAACTCTAGAATTGCCAGAGCAGCTTGCTGAGCATCAAAAAGTTGTTTATAACTCCTTACTTTTTTTATACTGACCCCAAGTTTCTTCTTTACCCCACCCAAATGTGCTGTGCCACTGAAATATCTTGAAAGCAGCATGAACTCCTCCTCCAAGCCGTCATAGTCTGTGTTGCACATTACTAAATATTTATCAACTTTCTTCAGTTGCATTTCACCATCAAGAAATTGTTCATTTATTGATTTCAGTTTGTCAAGAATTCTTGACCAAATCTTGGTGAACATAACTTCCATTGTCACAAGTTCATTTTTCAATTTTTCGCCGTATTTTTGCCATAACTTCTTAAATATTTGACTGTTTTTTATCTCAGTTATTTTCGACACCATCTCGTGAAACTTGTCATCGAGGTTAAAAAACACTATGTCGTATCCCCCAGATCGTTTAGTGCATAAATCGCATATAGATAATTCATTATAATCTTGCACAATTTTGTCACGCAATACACGTAGTTTCTCATCAACTAAAAATATAACATGGTAAAATATTACTATTACCGTGTGATACGGACCTCTCGCCGACCTATCAAAAGGCTCCATTTACGTTACGGACCTGGGATTACGGAACGGAAAATTAATGATGTACCTTATCTGGTAACCCTCATGCACAAGGAAATATGGCCGTAGGGAGGAAAATTTAGGTGGAGGAGGGGAAAATTTCCTGGGCCACCGGTTCAATGTTTCTTTTTGTTTCAAAGACAAATGTACAAAATAAGGAATGTACAAAATAAAATTTATTTGGATCACTAGCTCTAGCTGAAAATAGATTGTTGACTGATATACCTGAAGTGAATTTGTCGCTGAAGTAAATAAAACATTCCACATGTTTTCTTAATGTGAGAAAAGCCTCCAGTTCACGACGTCGTTGTGAAAAAGAATCTTCTATTGATATTGAAACCTTTTGGGTCGTCTTGTGTATCTCACCCAGCTTTAGATATTGATCGGAATGTTCTTCTAAGAACTTGAGTGTGGCAACTGTAACAGTTCCTTTCTCGACAGATTTTATCAGATTATCAAGGCAAGACTCTGCCCTAGTCATCATGATAGCACAGTCATGGTCTTCTGTTAATTTATCCTTAGCGCTGGAACTGCTCCCTTGAAAATTAAAAAAAATACTGTTTTATACCGCAAAAAAGTAAAATCAGTTTGCAACTTTATATAATTTTCCAGCCTAGACCTAGGGCCTTCTCCCACTTCACATTATATTATGTTTACAAAGTATATGCTGGTTTTTTATCACATATGCATGACTGGGCAGTTGCAGCAACACAGTAAAGTGCATTTCAAAATATGCCTGCATAACAAGTTAACAACCCCGACATGTTTACATATTTAACCATGATATTCAACTAAAGCATTTTGAGTAGTTAAAAATGTATGGTGCAACATATTTTTAGGGTGGTGCTGCACTTCTCTAGGGGGTGCTGTACACCGCTAGGTGGGGTGCGCACAACCCACCCCTATGGTTGTAGATCCACCCCTGGAACCTAGCCAATTTTTTTTTTGGGGGGGGGGTAGGGCAAAGAAAGGGCGAAAGCGAGAAATAGAAGTCATTCATTTTCCGAAATTTAGGGCAACCTAAAATAGTTGTTAAAAACAAAGCAGTATAAATTATGTTGCGAAGTAAATAAATTATACTAGCATATACTTGGGAGGTGGATAGCGCTTTTCAAGCAATTTGATTGGTTGCTCACTTCCAGACAAAAACAAAATGGCTTCCCAATCAGTTCTAGTTACAGACGAGAAAACGTTTATACTAAACAAAGCTGCGCTTTCGCCAAATACAAAAAAAAACATAAAGTTTTGTTAATGAACGTATAATTGTTCCGTTTACAACTATTACGGGAGCTGAAATACAAATTGTATAAAAAATACTTGTTGCTTTTATGGCATTTTTGTTTCGTTATGGTATATATGCTAAAACAATTATTCATTTCGGTGTCGGTGAACAGTGCAAGGATATCCACGACAACGTTTCGCCATTGAAGTCAATTAACCTGCAAATCACAACGGCGCAGCTTACCGAATAAAGAATAAAGATCCCTAGATCTGGGATAATAATATCCTATTTAATACAAACTCCTTCTTACATAATTTACCTCTGGAGCATGTACGTTTAGGCAATTTTAAAAGTAATATGACGCAAATGTACAATGGCTTGGTTTTTCAGTTATTCGCTTTGTTGGTAAATATAAAGTAATCGATGAAACCGATCTTTTAAGAAGTTTATTTCAGTTGACCACCATCATATTAATTGTAGCTAATGATTTGTAAAAAAATACACAAATTGAATATTTCCCTTCGAATTTTGATAATTGCAATTTTAATCTAATTTTCTCACTCTTTATTAAATAGCATTTTAATACAATTTAAATGGAATTCATCTGATTGGATTACATGACTTCACCTCCCACTTCAGCGACTGAACTCATGATATGCTATACTCTAAACCCCCGAGTATTTGTCCCCGAGCCGACGGCGCGAAGCGCCGTGCGAGGGTATTAATTCCCCCCCCCGGCTATTTACACCCGGGGAAACGAAAGCATTAGCGAAGTCAAAAGTTCATCAAATATCGCGGGCGTGGGTGACCAATGGTGTTGGGTGGGTGGTCATCCTCACTGATCTCAAAAATATGGCGGACTGTCATGAATAGTGGACACTGATAACAGGTGGGAAAATTGACTGAGCATGCGCGAAAACTGCTCGGGTTTTTAGCGGACTTGGTTGATTTCAAAAACATAAACAACATGAACGAAGCCTTCGAAAGACAATTTAGCGGCGGCTGTTTAGGCCCACAAATCACCACAAAAATTGGATTCACTGACAAAACATGTTGCAGTAATATTTTGATTTCCTATATTGCCACATATTTCACAATGTAAACTATTAATATAGATTATTTCAGTGCAAAACAAAACAGAGCAAAAAATTTCCTTGTAAAATGTCGTCTCATAGCTTGAATAAAATGTGAAATTCAAACCAAAAATACTAAAACTTCTTCATTTTTTACAAATTAGTCAAGAAATTTAATACCGACTTTAAAATGCTTTGAAATTTAATGTAAAACAGCGATATTTCGTTGGCACAACCTGTAACATGACAAAATTCGTGTTTATAGGATTTTGAACGAGCCAGAATTGTGTTTAAAAATAATACAAAGTTTGCGCTTCGAAATGAGGGTCATAGAAAAATCTGATTGCGATGTTTATATGTTTTTCCAATACTTTGAAAACCTAAAATAATATTTTAAAACTATTATAGCAAAATACGGGGCAAAATCTTCATTCTGATGCTCATTTTCTGCGTCGCAGTTTTCGTATAAATCACACTTGCACATGAAAGTTGCCAAAATTCAGTACTTTCTTCATTTTTAGGCGATTTTACATTCTATTAACACAAACTAGAAAGAAAAGCACATGTTCTGACCTAATCACATTTCATTGGCACAACCTGTATATATGAGAAAATTAAGGTGGAAAAACAAGCAATTTTAGCAAAATACCTCACATACTGAAATTTGACGATGATCGTTGGCGCACAGTATCACTCAGGCCAAATATTTATACTTTGTCCAGGACAACAAACGCATGTACTACAAATTTCAAGTAATATTCCATCAGTATTAAGTTCATACTCGAGGTTATTTGCCATAGAAAACACACATTTTGCAAGAAACGTCATTTTCGGCCATGTTTCAGCGAAGAATTCTTGACTGCTAATTTCACGATTGCGACAAGTAATTGTATTCTTGATTAACGTTTATTAACGTTTACGTCTGCTAGCTTTCTTTTGTTTTCCCTCTGCTGCAGTACGAGAAACAGGGTAGCGAAATCTGTGTTTTTGTTGTTTTCACAATTTTGTGCTGGCAAAAAGAAAGCGGCCGCGATAAATTTGGTCAGCGACGACAATTTTCTCACCTGTTGACACTGATTGATCCAATTTAAAGTTTGCATTATAACGACTGCATGACGACAGCGAAATAGCAAACATTTCTTGATTTGATGATTGGTAAATTTCTTGCAAATATATTTCATTTTTGCTCGCATTTTTGCAAGATTTTGTAAATTTCAATAGCTTTCTCAGGAAGAAAGGGCGGAAGAATCGGCTAAAAGAAGGGAGCCGACGTTAACGAAGGTAAGTTTGTTTTAACTAAAAATTTTATAATTGCTTTATAATTGCTAATTTTATTGCAAACTCAAAGTTTATCGATAAAGCCATTTAATTAAAGGCAGTTTAGTTTTATAAAGAACACTTTAAAACGTTTTGCGAAGCGTTTGTGGTTGCATTTTACCTTAAATTGAAGCTTATATTACGTATAATAACATACCTAACATATATATGTTGGGACATTGATAAATTTGTAATTAAAAGTGAAATTTTTAGGCGATTTTTCATTTGTAAGAATATTCTTAAAAAATTATCGTGTTACCATGACAACTATTTTAGATACTTCATGTTCGGAAAATACAATGGTTTTGTAATTTTTAATTATATATTTATAATTTTTACCAAAACCATGGGAAATTGTAAACCTGCATCTGTGATATTTACAACTTTGCCCCGGTAATTATGCCCATCTTTAATTATGTTTACTCCGAATACACTCACTTTGAAAATTTCTTACCGAAGAACTTTAAGAATCCTGGCCAGGTTGACCAAGTTAGGAGATGTTTCAGCAAAACTTCATCCTTCTCTCTGTCATTTAATTGATTGTCTTCCTTTTTCTCCGTTGGCCAGGCTTTACGCAGCATCTCCCTGAGCAATCTTATAGCATTGGTTGAAGAGTTCCGAGATAAACGCTCGAAAGCATCTCTTTCACCTTGACCGCCCTACAAAGATAAGATTGCAAAACTATACATACTGCAACACAAGCACTAGAAAAAAGTACTGTAGATAAAAAATAACTATTCATAAGCAATTTAAAAACGTTATTTAAAAAAGCACTACCAAACAACTCCTTACCTCCTCGTCGAGTAACTAAGATCAGTTTATACAGGGTGTATAAGAACTGAACAGATTTGAAATTGCTCTCAATTTCGAAAAACAGCTATTAGTATCCAGTTTTTCATTTTTATATAGTTTCTTCGGGTACTTATAATTTAGAATAGTGAAAAAAAAATTTTCAAACTCAAATTTTGTAAACCAGGGGGTGTGTCTTTTCCAACAAACTAAAAATGGCTTGCGCACGAAATTTAAAAGTTTTAATTGTATTTTGAGTTAATGACTGGAACATTTGCTGGGTTTTTAATTACTGTACAAAATTTCAGACAATTTGCTTTAGTTTAAGTCCTTTAACTATTCATTTTTTCAAAAAAAATCAGCCTTTAATTCGCATGCTTAATTAATGCATTTACCTAATTTGCATATTGCTGACATAAGCAAATTGAGTTAATTTCAGATATTTTTGACAATTTGTGACTAGCAATCTTGTGGAGAAACATCATATCAAGCTGGACTAGACCAAAACACATCCTTTGATTTGTTTCAGACAATGTATTTTGCTTTACAAGAAACATGCATTATTTTCGCAGAAAACGACATCAGAATAAGCGCATTGATAAATAGCACAACAAAAAGTTATATATTCTGTAGAAACGTAACTGTATATAAACTGACAACTGCAATAACCTATATGCGCTATAATGAATGAATATAATGTATGTTCAGGCCTTGTCCATGCGCAGCCACGGCAAAAGACATTTCGTGCTGCTGTGTACCAGTCCCCCCTTCCGAAAATGTGTTTCTGTTTCTCTAGATGTTCGATTTTCTCTATGCAAACTAACTTCACATACTTACTTTTGCAAGTTTGTCCACAGCCTCGAAAGCAGAGTCACTTAAACATGTTACAATATCTGTATTACATTTTTGTTGGTCAAATAAAGCAAATAGGTCAATCTGACGGAGAAGTGGCACCTAAAATTGGATAAAAATAACATTTTCTCTGCGTGATCACGTGGATTACACAAAAAACTTAAATATTCGGCAAATGCAGTTATTTGGAATAATTTGCAATCAACACGCTTTAATTGTACATAATTTATGCACACATCAGGTAATTATAATTTTGAGATGTTGGTTATTATAGATGAATACGTTTTCAAAATTCTTGTAACCCAGACAATAAATGGTACAGTTCATCATTCAGAACATGCAGTTTGACGTGCAATTCCTCCCGGCTCACCCTGATTAGCCCCAATAATGAGTAGAAAAGCAAAGGATTCTGCATGCATATTCTTCATTGAGGATAGGAATGAGAGTAGGTTCCGTATATTTGATGCGTGCGCATACCAATATGAAATGCGCAATCATACAATACCTTGTGTATTCTACTCTTAAATTTAGTGATGAATTTATCCTTCCACGGTTTTTTGAAGATCTCCGGGGCAGACAATGATAACAGTTCGGTCCAAGCCTACACAAGAGAATTACAATCAAAATTATTGTTCACAAGTGGTAAAAAGAGCTGATAACAAAGCCAAAATGCACCGTACATATTCACGTAATAAAAAAGGAAATGGAAGCCGCCACAGACACACAGACAGTGGTATATATTTAATTGTATATAAGCAAAACTGAAGAATCCGATACAACAGATAAAAAATATGTTAGGGCAATATAATATTCTTCATTTTATGAGAAAGTGACGTGTTTTTATTTTACTTATACAACCTACAGTATACACGTAATTTTTTTAAAATTATATACGCTAATTGCAATGAAGCCTCCAAAGTACACGTCAATACATTTCACCACTTTATACTAAAGTATGTCGTAACACTCACTGACCCGCAATTCCTGGTTCCATTCTGAAGCCCTACAATATTCAAGGTAAACTGCAGAGAGCTTCTTATTCATAAAATCGTCAACAGCCGCAAATTGTTCGTTGAAAAATGATGACATTTTCGAAATATCTGTCAATTGGTATGGCGTGGAAAGGTTCTCATCGGAATCATTTTCACGTTCGGATACCACAGAGTCATTTTCAAGATCAATTCCTCTCTTTTGAAGATCAATAGCAGTAACTAAACACTCCACCAAGCGACAAAGAACTTCAACTTGACTAAGTTCAAGATAATGCGTTAAATTTACAGCCAGACGCACCAAGCTATTAAGTAAAATCAAGGTCTCAGGCAGTCGATATTTTGGACATTTTGAAGGGCTGAAAGAGAGAAAAAAATACATACGATTATAGTAAAACTACAGGAAATATTTTCACAATGGCTTTTTAAGGCTGATGGATTTTACTAATTATCGATTTTTGATGACAAATTCGCTACACTTGAATTGGTCAGGTTTAGCCCAAACTAATAATAACATGCAATGAAGCTTTAGTGATCTTCACAATAAACCTATATTATGATTACATATTGAACGTCATGGTGTGTACTACACAAGGCGCGTTGTTACACATTGCAATTTTGATTGCACCAAGGCAGCTCATGCGGCAACTTTTGTCAGCATTGCAGTGATTGTGTGCACCCTATTTCGTGCAAGTTGTTTGGCAATACTGTCTTTTCTAATTGTATTATTTCGTGCAAGTTGTTTGGCAATACTGTCTTTTCTAATTGTATCTTCAGTTGTCAGATTTGCGTCAAACGGCTGCACTGGTGTTCTTAATTTATCGTATATTTCATAATGGGCATTGCAAATTGCATGAAATATATTGCTGAATGGAGCACCACTTGTCTTCGCTTCACTGCACCTAGCGACAACTAAAAAGTTTCAAGTCATAACTCAAAGTTATCTGTTTGGCGAATCAAAAAATATACTCATAGATATACGCAAGACTGTAAATAATAAAGTAACATTAACATACAGTAATTAACAATTAGCTATATAAATACCAGATCTCAGCTTTGAATGCATAATGATCATACGCCTCTTATAGTGTACAACGACTATACACACAGTAAAACTAACAGGTAAGGGTAATATAATACCTCATGTTTGATAATGTTTCGTTTAGCTCCTTAAAAAATACTGCCAGCGATTTTACCTGAAAATGCATAAAACAATATTATTACATGTGCTTGTAGATAAATCACGTACAATTTATTTTGTGTATACGTTGAACACCGACAACGGATGAATTTAAAGGACATTGGCAATAAAAAATTAGTTTAGTTCATTTGAAAGAATTCTTAAAACAATATTTTAAACTCCATTACAGGTTGTTCATATCTTTTTTAGTTTAATCCTCAGGAGTTAGGTGATTTTTGATGGGCCTTAGGAATGACCGGTAGTCTCTTTCTCGTCCAGAGACACACAGCGTTTATCCAGACGAGAAGGAGATTAGGGGCTTACTTCTTGAGTTTGTAGTTGCCTCTTTAGCACAAATACGGATTCTGGGTCTTTAGGCAATTAATTCTATATATTTAAACCTGGGTATTACTCTGAAATGGCAATTCGGGGTAAATATTCCAGTTAACCTCCGCAGCACATCAAACAAAACAGAGCCAATCGTGCTATAAGTTCATATACTGTATATACATGAACCATATGGTAAAATTCTGCTATAAATACATACAATATGTTTATATAAAACCACTGAAAGCCACAGTAAACACTCGATTTCTTTTTGCGTCTGCACCATAGAAATAATAGAATAGAATGTCTTCTTCTATCGTTTCTCAGTAAAAATTGTCTCTACAAAATGGTCGATTTATAAGAGCATTTTCGCTCGTCCCAAACTCCTGTGGCAACAAATTTATAGCTGTTGCAGGAAGTGCGAATTGGTTTTTTTCAACAAAGTTACTCCTGTGGCAAAAAATTTATAGCTGTTGCAGGAAGTGCGAATTGTTTGTTTTTTTCAACACAGTTTGCAAAAAAAGATTTTATATTAAGACTTAAAATAAAAAAAGGAGATAAACTTCTGAAAAACCCATCCAGAAAAGCAATACTTTTGAACAGAATATGACACAGAATATGACACAGAAATCGTTCTTTAAAAATTCATTTTCAACGTTGTGCAAGCCAAAACAAACCACAAAAGATCAAGACAAACTCTATAGGTACATATGTTCTAAAAATATTTCAACTGTTTTGCAATATGTATAATTGAATAATCTTTTTAAACTTACACAATTACTTTCATATTTTTCTATGTTGACTGAGCCAACGCTTTTGAAACCACAGTTTCGACGATTATTTAGGTGATTTACAGTTCACCGATAACTTAATACTTTTTGTTTTAAAAACATTAATAATAATTTTTGAATAATAATTTTTGTAATTTTAATAAGGTATTAGCGAAACAGCGACTCTCAGAGCATGCAAAAATAATTAATGAGTAAATTATATTTACGCGAAACTACTTTGTTTTGTACAAGGCTGCATGATTTTCACCGTTTTTGCATGTAAGTGAACAACTGATGCACCACTTATATACTTGCTTTGTGCTATCAAAGAACTTAGCCTCAAATTATAAATTAAACAGCAAGACAAAACTTTTTGACGATCAAAACTTGGTTTTAGCTTTGTTTGCATTCCTAGTCAAATTCGATATAGCAGATTTAAAAGGGTGCCGCACGCATGGGGAAAAGTGGAGACATGATTTGTGATTGAGCATTCTATATGTATTATTTCTATGGTCTGCGCATGCACATAGATTGTCATCCTGCATGTTGTCCCATCCATTCTATCATTTTATTTAAACACGGAAAAAAACATCAGTACTTCAAAACTATTGCTATATTTACAAGTTTGTAAATATAAAAATAAATACAATAAATGAGAAAGGAGAGAAGAGATAAAAGGAAAGAGTACTGTTCTACCTGCATGGTTGCCGTGTGGGAGTCAGTTCGTCTAGAATATAGTGATTCCGGACTACTTTTAAACGCCGTGAGAAATGGCGATAATCTAAGAGATTCTGGCAAGTTGTTCCAGAGAAATGCTCCACTGTAAGAAAAGGAAGCGCTTTAGGTAATCAGTAATAGGTTTAGGAATAAACTTGCCATTAGAATTCCTGAGAGAATACTGACATCTTCTAGAGGTAAACATCTCATGTATAAATACTGACGTGTTTGACCGCTAAGCGTCTTATACATGAGAATAGTTTTCTGTTTTTCACGATTAACGGATAAATTATTCCACTTCAACTGACCGAGGAGGTTAGATGAGATATCATATGAAGAACGCGGTATAACGCGAGCTGCTCTGTTTTGAAGTTCTGGAGCCTATAACTCAGAGTACATATCTCCGAGCCCATCCCACAGTAGAAGGTTCAATAAAACCTTGATAAGCTTTATTTGCGGTTTCTTGATCAATCACCCCTCGCACAAGTTTAAGCGCACCAACGCCTGCAGAAGAGATCTTTTTGTTAATGACATCGACATGGTTTCTTCAAATAAGGTTTTCATCTAAAGTTATTCTTAGAGTTATTCCTAGATCATTGATATAGACCAAAAACGAAAGAGGCCCAATAATAGAACCTTGGGGGATTCCCTTCGTTATAAAAGAGCTATTTGAGAACTGACCATTGACGCACCTGTCCTTACGATATGATCGAAACCAAGGTAGAACCAAGTCATCAACACCGTGAGCTCTAAGCTTGGAAAGTAGAATTTCATGGTCAATGGTGTCAAAGGCCTTCCTTAAATCGATGAAAACTACACCGTTTAGAAGACCCCTGTTTATATTGACAAACCAATTATTGGTTGTTTCCAGCAGAGGTAGGAGTGCTATATGTGGGTCTAAAACCAGATTGGTAAGAATTAATTAACTGATTAGATGTTAAGTAAGTGCAGAATTGATCAACAAGTCTGCCAAACACCTTAGCCCATCCTTTTCCCGCTTTTGAAGATGGGTAACATTCTAGCCATCTTCCAATAGTCTAGTTAAATTCCCATAAAAAGAGAACGATTAAAAATAGCCGTCAGAGATGGAGACAGGAACTCAGCTCAATTGTAGTTTTCTATTCTCTTTTCATTTTTCTAGTCTATCTTTTTCCGTGCACTGCTTCTATATTATCACATCTACTGATGAGTACCATGCATACTACCAAGTTTTGTTTCTGTTTCGCCACTTATCGCAATTTCTATACAGTTAATATTCCCCATACTCTTAACATGATCACCCCCACTCAGCCAATCAGAACTCAGTATTTTAGCGGTCTATATCCCCTAAACTGTCTCATAGCGAGCTTCATAGCAATTACAGTTAGTTTATATTGTGTACTACCGGGTGTCCCAAAAAAAAACTTGCGCTGTTTGATTTCATGTAAGGAAAAACTATAAAAGCTATTACACTCAAATAAGTTTTATTGTATTGAGGAAAGGCTAACCTAGATCTTGATATACAGTCCTAAAAATGTCATGTAATATTACGTGAGATACAAATGTTTGAATTTGGCGCACGCTTTAAAAATGAGTAAAAAAATCGAGAAACACGGCTGATCAAATTTATATGAAAACAATTGCCAATTTCCACAAAAATTAACACTTTCAATTTTAGCACTTCAACTTAACTTTAATTTCGGATAATGTCCCAGTAAGTAATTGGCCTTTCGTGTTTCTTGGGAAACGAAATAAGCTTCTCAATTTCATTAATAATTAATGAGCAATTCAGCTAATGATAATCACCTATTTGATCACAAGATGCCATTTGGATAACCCGGTGAAACTTGATGAAAGTCACTAGTGCTTTCATCAAATATCTTAATTACGCATGCACTTGAATAGAATTCCTAATTACGTTATGCTTGGTTCTTGGTAAGAATTCTATTCAAATCAGCAAACGAAAACATTCTGTTACGTCTCGATTCATTTGAGAAGCCATATAAACAACTCGAGCTCGTGTCTCACCGGGATATCCAAACACTCGAAAACAATGTATGAAAACACTCGCGCTTCGCTCTCGTTGTTCATATATTACATCAAGTTTAACCAAATAATATTTGATAGATATCTTTATGCAAATTTTAAACATTACCAATACGGACATTCGAATGTTATATATCAAAATCTAAGTTAGCCCTTTCTGGATGCAATAAAACTTATTTTGAGTGTAATAGCTTTAATTTGTAGTTTTTACGTTACATGCAAACAGCGCAAGCTTTTTTTTGGAACATCGGTATTTAAAACACGAGCAAGAGTGTTAATTAGATATAAAAGACGAGAGCGCACTAGCGCAGGCATGCAAGGATATAGGACGGCTTAACGTTCGCGAAGGTGGTACAATTCAAGGAGTGGATGCATATGTCCGTTCACGAGCTCGAAATGCATTTGAATGCGAGCCCAACCCGAATGCAACAAATCAAGGAAGAAACTCCCTCAACACATGCATTCATCACTTAAGGTTGGTCTGAGAAGAGAGCATATTGCCAAAGTCACTTGCACGCCTCGCCTATTGAAATTATCGTGAAAGACTAACTGCATGCTTTTGATGGATTGATATACTGAAACGAACTTGGATTCTAATTCCGAAGAGTTTGCAGTCCGAAGTATTGAAGCGCTCACTTAAGGGCAGAGAAGTGCAAACTGAGAGCCAAAGGATCAGCATTCTCGGTGAACATAAATACTCATATCGAGGAGATGGTTAAAAGTTGTGGTTCGTGTCAACAGAATCAATTAAAGAATAAATGTGAAAGAACCTCTTATATACACCACGCGAAAAACAAATTTTAAACATTCTGATTTTTTGAACATTCAAAATATAATTTAATTAGTAAGTATAAACCTATTTCTAACTTTTTATAACAACAGTGCTGCATGCACCTATCCTAATATCAGTGGTAGCACTGTAGAAAAGTGGAAATTTGCTTTTACGTTATTTTGATTTAATGTATATAGCTACTTACGAAACTCTCTGAGTATGAAAAGCTTGTTTTATCGGGCAATAATTTTCTCATTGTGATGCACAATTCCAAACACGAAAAGCTCCCAGTCTTTAAAAGGTATACATATATCTCCACAGGACATAGTATCAAGAATGTACGCTTGAGCAAACGATCCATATCAAATGCACTCTCCAGATTTTGTAACATTGCGATGGCTTCGCTATAAAGAAAAGAAAGAACTTAAGATTAAGATTAAGATTAAGGTTACAGGACACCCTTTTTGGCGTTTTGCGGAAAATCGCTACTGCGCGCTCAATATCAGTCCGATTTTCATCAAATTTTCACCAAATGTTCTCCAGTGCATGCAAAATATGATAAAGTTGTAAAATTAACAAACAATAAAATAATGTAACAATTATTCAGGAAAATCTTAAGTCACGGTACCTTTACGCTTTTGAGTTGTGCTCCTGCTGGTTTTAAGTTATATTTATGAAAATATCATTTTTATACAGTAAAATAGTTGTTCTAAAAAATCGTGTTCGGAAATTTTTGTTTATTTCGTCATCCCGCTGATATGGCGATTTCTTTGACGACTGCAATATATTTCTGAATTGTTCGAGTGAATTGTTCTTTATTTTTAAAATATCCAAAATTTAAAAAAAGCCGAACACAATTTTGAAGCTGACGTATTTAGCTATGTTCTGTGCAAGTTTGAAAAAAAATGGTTAAAACCCGCAGGAGCACAACTCGTTTGAAAATCAGTAATTACCGTAAAATTTTTCGGGAGAAAATTGAATTTGAATATTACATTTTCAATGTTTTTCTTATTGCAGCGAAATGTATTTTATTAAATAACTCTGCAAGTTTTCAACATTTTTCGTTCAAACTTGGTCAGATAGTAGAACTAGTCTAATGCCTTCATCGAAACCAATAAAAAGGTGCTCTGTAACCTTAAGAATTGGCGATTTCTTGAAGGTTTTAGGGGGAGAATGATAGTTCTGTAATTCTAGTGGGACGCGCCGTATTTAATAAAAAGGCAAAATAAAAATAGCCTGGACAAACCCACATTCAACTTGCATAAATATTCCATCTGCATGAGATTAGTTCCCGTCTCAAGCTTATATATATGTTTGACTATATACATACAGCAATTGATCTGAATTTATTGGGGCAAGTAAATTTAGCAACTGTCCAGATTGTCTGTGCAGGGTTTTTATTTTGAATTTTTTTCAGCCAAATAATAATTTTATTGCTTAACTGTGAATACAGGCAAAGGAATATTAAACAGTGTTTAAAATTAAGAACAAAAACACTTTCATATAATACAATTACCTTATAATAATATTTAATTGGCCTAAAAACATTTTTCCTTTGAAGATTCGAATCCAATGCGCAGCAATCGTGCACATAGTACTAAACTTGAGAAAAAGATGAAAGACGCAAAAACTGACCTCTTTTAGAATATACGAATCTATGAGATTCCATCTTAAATTAGAGTAAACATATACGCTTAACAAGAAAAATTAGGGAAAACGGTAACAAGTGTCTAAATTCTCAGAAGAGCAGATGGGAAACAAAAAATCCCATAGCAAAATGATAAAGCTTACCCTGCTGTAATATGTTTTTGAATATCTTTACACGGCAACTCTCCTAATCCCCACCATTTCGAGTTTGAGAAATTAATGGGTTTCTCACAAGTCATGTCGTCAAATGGCTTCGTTTCACGCCGAAGAAAATGCAGCAAAGGCAAAGCAGACAGCCAATGACGAACAAAAAGCCTGTTTGACGATTGTTTTCGGTAATACTGAAGGATTGTTTGGATGAAGGGACTATACATATAAAAAAAATACAGGAATGAAAAGAAGATTAAAAGAAAATCAATCTTTTATATTATAATGTATAAAAAATATATCAATAAAAGGCAAAAGCATATTGACTGGACTCAGAATTGTTATTTTAAGATATTTATAATTCAATATATATATATATATATATATATATATATATATATATTCTATTGCAAATATAAACTCTTTGTCGATTTAGTATCTTTTTATATAGTTATACATGACCGTTCTTCGTGGGTATACTGAACTTATAATAGAGAGAAATATGTTAAAAGGTAAAACATAGTTTACAGTTATGTATACGAGTTAGGCGATTTCATGCAGGGTTATAGGTCTGGCACGGGCAAAGGCTGGATGGGGGCTACAAACCCATATATATATATATATATATATATATATATATATAGTTATAGGTCTGGCACGGGCAAAGGCTGGATGGGGGCTACAAACCCATATATATATATATATATATATATATATATATATATATATATATATATATATATATATATATATATATATATATATATATATATATATATATATATATATATATTTATATATATATAATTATTTATGAAATAAAGTACAAAACAAACGTTGTTACTCAGAGTTTCATGCCTGAGTTTCCAGACAATATTCGGACAACTAAAGTTCTGTTAACTAAATTTGACGGTTTGGTTTTGTTTGCTTGCGCGTGCATGATTGCGCACGTTGTTCGATTGCACGCGAATGTATTTTCAAGCCAGAAATTGTTTTTGATGGACGCAATTCGAGAATATTTCACTTCTTTTGTTGAGCAGCGAGTTCTTTTTAAATTTCATGATGAAAAGTTTTTCGTCGCTACACAAATTGCACTGATTACGTCCGGATCTGTACGCACTCGAATGTTTTAAGATGGTCCATTTAATTTTGTATGGGCGATTGCTTTTCTTTAAACTCCATCTTAAAACCATGGACCATCTTAAAACATTCGAGTGCGTACAGATCCGGACGTAATCAGTGCAATTTGTGTAGCGACGAAAACCTTTTCATCATGAAATTTAAAAAGAACTCGCTGCTCAACAAAAGAAGTGAAATATTCTCGAATTGCGTCCATCAAAAACAATTTCTGGCGGGAAAATACATTCGCGGGCAATCGAACAACGTGCGCAATCATGCACGCGCAAGCAAACAAAACCAAACCGTCAAATTTAGTTAACAGAACTTTAGTTGTCCGAAGATTGTCTGTAAACTCAGGCATGAAACTCTGAGTAACAACGTTTGTTTTGTACTTTATTTCATAAATAATTAAATATATATATATATATATATATTTATATATATATATATATATATATATATATATATATATATATATATATATATATATATATATATATATATATATTATAAATGCAGTATACCCATGAAGAACGGTCATGTATAAATATATAAAAAGATACTAAATCGACAAAGAGTTTATATTTGCAATAGAATATGGCGAAGGAACAATGGTATTTGGCCTAAATATATTCGTGTCTTGTTTCATCTGTTAAAAAATTGGAAATCGTTAACAACTCAAACTTGCATGATTGGACAACGAACATAAGCCACTCCATGCAGCGGTTAAAATATTTGAGTTATTTAATGATTATCAGTTTTTGAGCAGATGAAGTCAGACATGGTTATATTTGGGCTAAATATACTATCGCTTTTTTTGCCGTATTCCATTGCAAATTTAAACTCCGACGACATTGACAGGGTATATATACCGAACATACTCGAGAAAAGTATGTTAAAAGGCAAACATGTCGATGTACGTTACGGCCATGCATACGAGTTTAGGCGATTTTGGGCACAAGCTTTACTTTCTTTTGTTATTTCAAGAAGGTTAGGCCTGGCACGGCCAAAGGATAAATGTGGGCTACATGCAGAGCTTGTAAGATATTTTGTGTAGGTGCGTATCAAACCAGATACTCAGAAAAGTTCTGATCTCTAACGGGAATCGAACCACGTAACCTTCTGATATAACCATTGAATTACTGTATAAGGTCTCAGATGGTGAGCCAAGGTTACGTTATTTACTAGTTTTGTGTGTTACATGCGTACTGTTAATCGCAATATATATATATATATATATATATATATATATATATATATATATATATATATATATATATAATATATATATATATATATATATATATATATATATATATATATATATATATATATATATGTTGTGTTATTGATGACTCCGTAATATGATAAGTAGAAATTAATGTTCTCGAGTGTGCACATGAATGTACTTCAAGTATTATATTATGCAAAATCAAAATTGATCAGGAACATTATTTCAAGTCCAAGCATGCAGTATCCCTGTATATGAAGTACAATTAGCAAAGCAAACGTGTTCAGATGACGCTAGTGCCTCTTGGAGATTTCTAAAAGATATCTTAATCTTTTCAATACGTATACTAACGATTTCTAGGCAAAATTTTACTTTTTACATTGTCATTGTTTATGTAATAGCAATGTCCTTTATTTCAACCACGCGATATCCTTGAAGAGCAATAAAAAAACTTACGTTAAGATGTTGTTGTCGAAATTATCAATACTCTTCATAAATTCCAAACATGCTTCCTTATTTGGAGGAAGCTTTAGACATTTCAATAAAATTTCATGATTCTCGTATGTCAAATAAACATTGTACTTGGTAAACACGTAAGCAATTGTTACTGACGACAGCACCGTATGAACTTTGGCTTTCGCATCCTGTGTTTGACTTCCCAAAACTTTCAAGTTTGCCTCGAGTTTCGGCATTAAAATTTTCTTGAAAACCTATGAGAAAAATCATTGTAATTTTCTTTTGTCCAATTAAATTCCCAATAACATACCGGGTGGCGCAAAAAAATTCTCCTGTTTGATTTCATTTAACTTAAAAACTAAAAGAGCTATACATGCACCTAAACCAGGTTATATATACTAAATCAAACAGGTTTTTGATTTAAGGTCTTAAAGTTCAGATTCAGGTCTTAAAGTCATACTAAATCAAACAGGTTTTTGCGCCACCCCCAATAACGGTCGAATATCCCGGTGTCAAGCGAAATTTCCGACCTCTGCGAAATACCCGACCAAGCATGACGGGTCAGAAATTTCGCGCGTGCAGACGCGAAATACATGACGCTTGCTAAATTCTAAGTCGGCCAAAACTGTTTTTAGAGTTTAGATAAAATAATCATGATGTTAATTTCTAATACTTCGTTAAATATTTCAAATCGACATCGCTAGGTTTCAATTTACAAACACTTTAAATTTCAAAGCGGATTGTGTGGTCGTGACCGCGAAATACACGACGTTTGCTAAATTAATACGGTCGGTCGTAACGATTTTTAAGTCTATATACGATGTTACCAATAGTATCGTTAAGTGTTTCTAATATAGACATCGCTAATCTGAACGGCCCATACACGAACTCATTGTTGCTGCTTCCTAAATAGTGATCTCAAACGCGAAATGATTTTTGGTGCTTATATAGTAATGCATATTGCATCACCTTCGAAAATGGAGTCTATTTTATATCACTAAGAGCGCTTTTCGGTTGACGTTTTTCATTCGCAGATTTTAGATTCAACCTTTATTATCGCTGAACGGAAACGTTCACAACCAGTGGTATAGTGTCAATTCAGTTGATCAATTGTAGAATTTGAAAATTTATGTATAAATATTATCCAACAAAATGACTTTATAAATACACGTGTTGTCTGTTGAGTTGCGAAATTTATGAGCCAAAGTCATTCATGCGTATCGTCTGCGCTGGGCAGTTGTACAATAGTCAGATATTTCGCAAGTCAGGAATTTCGCGTCACACCTGTCCGGAAAGCCTTGAATCTTATCGTTCGATCAGTCGGGCAGATAGAAGGAAAAAACTTACGATATCACGGGACAATTCCATTTTGCCTTCGTATTGTGCCCTGAAGGCTAGTTAGTACGTTTCTGTATGTTGGCCACTTTAAAATGTCTTTTGAGCTCCTGCCGACACATTTTTCTTCGAATGTTGTATTAAACTCTATTACAGTTAAAAAATGTGAAATTTCAAATACATTTCTAACACAAATGACTTACATCATTTGAAAGCCTGCAAAAAACTACATATAAGACATTTAAACGGTTACCCGGGTTTTTCAAGTTCTTCTTGAGTTATGAGCTGTTGAATGCGTATTTTCAGACTAGTACCCAGGAATTTTGTGAGATTTTGGCTTACTCGAAAACCGCTTGAAAATCCCAACTAACCATTTAAATGTCTTATATGTAGTTTTTTGTTAGCTTTCTATTGATGCAAGTCATTTGTATTAGAAATGTATCAGAAATTTCACATTTTTTAACTGTAATAGAGTTTAATACAAAATTCGAAGAAAAACGTGTCGGCAGGAGCCCACAAGAAATGTTAACGCGGCCAACATACAGAAACGTACTTATTAGCCTTCAGGGCACAATATGAAGGCAAAATGGAATTGTCCCACGATATGGTAAGTTTTTCATAATTTTGGTCTTCGATCTGCCTGTATATTCTTAAATGAAAATTTCAGATAATTCAACATATTGTACCAAGCGGTATACCAACAACAATACGGGCATTATTCAGTTGGTCTGAAGAAGGTTTTCAAATACAGTCGAAATACTGTAAAACCATTATACCATTTTGTCTTGATTTTATCTATATCTTGAAATTTCAAGATGCATATTTTCGAAATATTCTTCATTTTATATTTTCCCTCAAATTGTCGGATAAAAGTGGATAATGTAATGAATGTCTTCTCACAAATGAATTCCTTGTCACAAGACTCAACAATGAGTTGAATCCCGGTGAAATGACTTCCTCACAAACAAGTTATCGTCATCTTATTAAACGGGACGGTGTTTACGGTACCAATACGTTTTACCATGGGCGTATACAAAGCCAGTCGGGCAATATTCGCTTCACAGTCGGGCAATATTGGCTTATTATAAAAATAAATGGGACAAATTCTGTCAATTTTGTGGGAAATTCTGTCAATTTTGTGGGAAATATGCTATCTAATAGGAATTTTTCGTTATCACTCCTCCCCCCGTCCACAACAATTTTGGAAAGTTTCTCCGGAAATTTTTTTTTGACAACTCGGGCACATCCGAAAAAGTCGGGCAAATTTCTTTCCGCCCCCCAAATTTTTTCCTTCCCGTACGCCCATGCGTTTTACAGTATATCATCTATCTGTCTATCTATATCATGCTGCACTCTCGTGTACCACGTCTTTCATGTCCCGTGTTGCCGGCATCAACACGACCATCAGCCCACTCGTAGAGTGCCCTAGTGAACGCCTACCCGGCGTCTTGTTTTATATCAAACCAAATCTTAAATGTAGCCTCCTCCGCAAGCCTCTCTATGGGTTTTAGCCTGCGCAAGGGTAAGGAAAAAAAAATTTCTAGGAAAGAAGCCTGCCATAAATCGAACAAAATGGACGTGACAATGTACCTTTGTGGCCGTGTTATGGTACCCCACCCCCTAAGTTTGAGCACAACGGCAGCGCCTGATGCTGGTACCATCTCCCCGCAGCTTCTTCAGCAGATCGTGTCAACAGTTACTGCTGAAGTTACTCGGCGACTTACACCACACCATCAAGCGGAGCTTTCGGACGTTGTTGTTGAGGCCCCAGCTGGCGCGATGGGAGCAACCACCTCGACTGAACAACCCGTCATTGTTCCTGGTATTGTGGAAGAAGCCTTACAGTCCGTGCATTCCGCCGTTGCAGGTGAGCCTTCCTGTTATTCTGCGATACCAAGTCAACCCTACGAATCGATCCATTTTCCTCTTGACTCCAAGATAACAACAAAATTAAAAAATAAAATTTGGAACGACGAATATATTGATTTTGGGTCTTTGTTGAGCGATCCCGGGGCGGTCGACACCAAATTTCAATTGAGTGTAAAGACTTCTAATGATGGTCTTCATCCCTCGCTTTCGTTTGAGCCTGTCCACAAACCACAAAAGGTCGCCCATATCGCGACCTGGATGAGCGCTTTCCGAATTTTTGTCGGGTGTGCACACAGAAATATCCTCATGAGTCCCCCGCACTCATGAAGTGCGGATATTGTGCAGGACCTAGCAGATCGAGGCCACAATTGGCGTTTTTACGATGAAAATTTTCGCTTCCTGAGACAGAAAGAACGCGGCGCGGTGCCTTGGGCATTGGTGCATTGGGAATTGTGGCTAAGATCGCAGTATCCTACCAATAGATCAGTCGGCCCTGGGCAACGCGCTGTCGCTAATACTACCAAATTGCCTTTTCTTAGTATATCTCGCGGCCATTGTTTTAGATTTTACAAAGCCGACGGACGAATGTTCGGGTTGTGAGCTTAAGCACACCTGTTTTAAATGCGCTGGCTCACACCCAGCCATAAGATGTAATTTTCGGGGCCTACCAATAATAATTAATAATAATTTATTAATTTATAAAGCGCTAAACACTATAAATATTCTAAAACGCTATCATTACAAATTCAAATAAAATGTTATAAAATATGAGATGATAACCATATATACATGTTTAAAATTTACTATTATATTTAAAGATAAAATGCCTTTTTAAAAAAGAAAGGTCTTAAGTCTGTTTTTAGAAGTTTCCACTGTTGACGCCTCACGAATGTCAGCGGGAAGTTCAAATTTACTATTATTGCTGCGGAGCGAGCGAGCCTGAAGCGAGCGAGCGTAGCAGCAACCTAATATATGCAGAGAGGGGGTTTTGAATTAAATTTTATTTAGCGCATGGAATTGTGGTCGTGCGCGATTTCTATGCGCAGAACACACATTTTCAACTCGCTCGAGTCTTTGATTTTTATCGAATTTCTAAAGCTTTTTCATGTCTAATGTTACGCTTACATTTGTATTGGACTTTGGCCACTGTCAGTTCTATAGTTTTGGTTTCTTAGTGTGATGAATCTGCGTATATAGTCTA